ACAGATGTAAATAAAATTAAATATTATAAGTTATATTTATGTATATAATATAAAAATTATAAGTTATATAATTGTATTATATTTCAAGCATATAGTATTATAAGTTATATGTATGTATATAATATTAAAATTATAAATTATATAATAGTATTATATTTTAAAATTTGATCATTGGTTAAAATAAATAGTACACACGATTTGATTGTATACGAATCACTATATTGATTGCATAAAATGTAATAAATATATACTTTTCATAATTTTGAATGATCATGACCAATTAATTAGCTGAAAAATATTACATTTATTATAACAATTGCTTATGTGATTTTAAGAAATTTTACTATGACATAAAAAAAATTAAATTTTTAATAAACAACATCTTCATCATATAAAAAAATATTGATTTTAGTGTAAAATATAATTTTATGTAACTTTCATATATTATTTAGTATAAAATATAATTACTAATTTTAATATTAACTATTATAGTATTCAATAAAAAAAATAATTATTAATCAATTAACATAAAATATAATAGTTTTTGTCTTAATTAACCCAAAAAAATGTAATGAAATATTTTTTTATTAATGAGATTGGTGTATTAATGCCACATAAATAAAATTTATTAGGTTCTATTTATTAGGTTTTATTAATGATTTGCCACATAGGTAAAATTTATTAGGTTTTATTTATTAGGTAAAATTTATTGCTTAGCTAGCAATAAATTTTCACATAGGATGATTTTTGTAAAAAAAAAAAACTCGAATTTATCTAATAAGTTTTTTTAAGTAGATTTTCAAATAAGCTCGTTGAAATTTTATTTCAATTAGTTTATGTGCTAATTTTACCTAATATTTTTATAATATAAATTAATTTTTCAGCTATAAATCATAAGTTATACGCTTTAAACTAAAAACTCAATTATAAATTATAAGTCAGTTTATCAACTATCAGCTAATTTTACCAAACATATATTATATATCCATTTTGCCTATATTTAAAAGTATATATGTTGTCGTTAGAGTAATAAAACGGAGTAAACACTATGACCCCAACTCCATTCACATGATTGGATATGAATTTGATCCAAACAAACAATCATTTTTAACCTAATCATTATTTTTTAATTCAACTTTAACTTGATCTCATTATTCTCAATATTATCAATATAACTAAATTATCAACCCTTAACAAAAAATAATAATCATTCTGCCTCTATGTTTCTACAAACCACACCAACATAATTGAACAATAACAAAATAATTATCATTATATATTTTCATATAAAAATATTATTCATCTATTTCATGTATTTTTAATTATTAGTCACCATTACCAATATATTATTACTTTTATATCACATAAACTTAAATCATTACATATTTATTTTATTTAGATTTATAGTTTCAAATCTAACTCATTTTTTTTCTTAAAAAAATGTTATATTTTATTTTGCATTTCACTTTTTAACCAGATTATTTGTTTGGAAAGAAATCATATAGTCAATCCCACAACATCCAATAAATCTCATTTTTCAAGAAAAAAATCCTTCGGTTGCTTCCACATTTCTTTCTTTAATAATAATATACAGATTGATTCACATGATTCACTTATAAAAATACCCATCTTTCCACTTTACCAACAGTCCTTTCCATAAACTAGATTCAAAACAACGAATCTATTAACTCAATTAGTTAATACCAATATCAAATACAAATATAGATTACACATGTCGAAGGTGGTCCGAAATTTCTCTAAAACGTTTTTATTAGTATTTTAACGATAAAGCCACCCGTAAATGTAGGAACAAAAAATGGAGTTATAAACTTAAAATATTTACCACTAAAGATGACCGTTGATCGAACTGCACGTGCTTCACACGCTCCGTGTCCATCTCCCAACTTTGCATCGCACCTAGACCACTTTTCATTGGCTGCCCGTTCTTTATCGCGTGACTATTAATTAAATCCATAAAAAAAGTGAATCCCGAAAAAATAGTAAACGCTCCACATTTTACTTTTTCATTTTCTAATTCACAACATGATAATTTTTTTATTATTTCTTTATACTGTACTTGCTCTCCAGCACTCTCCATTCTTCATTTCATTTGCTATAATATAAGAAAGGCTCAGCTTTATTTGTTGGATTTTAGCACAAGGTTTCTCATTCTGGAGACAATTGTTTGACTTTTGGTGATCAAGGCAAGAAAAAAAAAGCTTACCGTTACCTGTTAGTGGATGACACTTTACCTTGTCTTTCTTTCTGGACTTGCCCCTTTTCTTTAATTTAAAATCTTTGGCTTTATCTTGTTTGGTTTTGTTATTCCCTCTTTACTGTTTCTCTGTGATTGGAAGAAAAGGTGGTAGCTTTATTGGTACATACATGGTGAAATCTTGATAATTTTGGGGTGTTTTACCTAATTTTAGGATTAGGGTGTTTTGCCTTTAGGGTTGCACGTGTTTTCAAGATCTTTGCTTGATTGATGAGCCTTATCTATTATTAGTTCCTATTGGGTTACCTGAGTTTTGGGGTTTCTAGGGAGATTTCATCTGGTGAGTTATTACTGCAATTAGTTGTAATAAATGCTGCTGAATCTTCTCCTCTCCTTATAAGACTTGTCATTTTCGTGTTTTTTTTGTAATTAGGGTTAGCAATGATTGCATCAACCTTGTTCTTTATTTCATGTATAAATAACAGTTAGTTAATCCTGTTTATTTATCATGAATCCCTGCAATTTTAACATTTTGTCCCTATAATTTCTGTTACTATCTCATCATATACTCAGCACTAGTGTTTAGCACTTTAGCTACCTGGGCAGTGTCATGTCTATTTCGAACTTCTGAGTTTTTGGTTTTGTGGTACTTTAGATCTGTCCCTCTAGCCTAAATTTTGGAGCTGGCTTCTGAAATTTAGATGTTTTTGTTCAACTAGAAGATTATAGCTTGAAAGGCCCTGTTCATGGCAAGTGTTGTTGATATAATATGATGATGATGACTGTTAATTTCTTTCTGACCTGAGATCACCTCTGATGGCATTGAAAACATAGTTCTTTCTTTCAGAGTTTAAATCTCTTAACGTTATCTGCTTCCGAAACAGTTTCTAGTGATATACACACATTCATATGCATATTCATTCATAGACTTCCTCACTGAGTTCCCTTTTCTCTTTTTGTCGATACTCTAATCAATATATCTTTCAATTCGTGACTTGAGAGTTCCAATCATGCGGTGGGTTCGCATTCGTTTTAGATTCTAGTCGTTTGCTCTTTTCAGGTTGAGTGACTATAATTGATCCTTATTGCCTCTTTTAGACGTGCTCATTCGACTATAAAGATCAAATCCTTATTCCAAAAAGCTCGCCTGACATGAATGATCACTTCTTTTTACAGCTAAACTTACAACTCAATATCTTTTCTCACTCATGGATTCCCCTCAATCGGTCGTCTCCCCACTCAAGACCTCCGAACAAGAGATGAAGAATATTGATTTCCAATCCAACGACAAGAACAACATTCTCGGCACTCTCGACGTTTACATCCACCAAGCGCGAAACATCCACAACATCTGCATCTACCAAAAGCAAGACGTGTACGCGAAGCTCTCCCTCACGAATGACGACCCACAAAACTCCGTCTCCACCAAAATCATCCACGGCGGCGGCCACAATCCCGTCTTCAACGAGGCCCTTCACCTTGGAGTCCGCACTCTCGACTCTTCACTCAAGTGCGAAATATGGATGCTCAGCCGAGTCCGTAACTACATGGAAGACCAACTGCTCGGTTTTGCTTTGGTCCCTTTGTCCGAGATCCTCTTGCACGGAGGAGGATCCAAGCTCCAGAAGGAATTCTCCCTCTCCTCCACCGACCTCTTCCATTCTCCTGCAGGTAGTAGGCTTGTTTACAAATCCATTTTTTTTTTTATTCGAATACGAATAATGTTTTATATTCGAAAGTTAAAACGAAGCCGAATTTGAATTCGTAGATATTCGATTCGTTAACGATAATTATATAAATTATACGAATTTGAATATTTTAACAGATCCGAATCGAATATCTTAGTATTCGCTCTGATTCGATTCGTTTACAACCCTACCTACCTACCTGCAGGGTTTGTCGAGCTGTCCGTCTCGTACGTCGGGGCCCAACCGGACGTGATCGTTATCCCAGCCCCCGTCCCGGGCCCGGACAGTGAGTCGTCGTCCATCACGTCCCTTGTGACCGAGTTTGACCGAATGGAATTTCCCGACCCCAAAGTCGTGAACGAGAATCACAAGATGGTCGAAGAGTACATCGAGATATGTACTAAAAGTGTGGATGCCGAGACTCCGGCGGCCTCCGAGGAAGTCGCCAGCCTGTCGACCGAGACCGGAGGTTTGACCGAGGAGCTGAGTCAGCTGACCAACAACGCTGACTCACCTCAGGTGAGCTTCGAGTCGTCCGAAACCCCCAAGGGCCCCAAGTCGCCTGACGAGGAGCACGTCTCGGAGGAGAAACCCGCGGAACGTGAAAACGGGCCGGGCTCTGAGGAGAAGCCAAAGCCACTGGTGAGTGTTGTGAACATCGAGCCGCCGGAGATGAAGCTGGTTCAACAGGACATAGTGGATATGTACATGAAAAGCATGCAGCAGTTTACGGAGTCGCTTGCGAAGATGAAGCTTCCCATGGATTATGAAAACGGGCCAAGCAGCTCGGAGAATTCGACAACGACTACTTCGGATCAGAGGACGCCGTCGTCGAAGAATTCTGGGTCGCGTGTGTTTTACGGGAGTCGAGCTTTCTTCTGATTAAAGGTTTGTTTGTTTGTTTGTTTACGTGAGTTTCGGAGTGCACAGACGCAGAACAGGTGACACCTTTAGCAGATTTAGAATGGAAAATACTACTGATATGAATGCCTAGTTTGCAGTGAGTATGCGTCTTGTTATGTATTCTGATGCTTACGTTTGTGTTGTTGTATCCGTTTTATGTTTTCTTTTTTCTAGATGAGGAGAGGATATCTCAGTTGTACGTTTTATGAGCTCTCATAGTTTGTACTGGAGATGGTTGCACTTTAATCCTGTTTCATGACATTTTCATCCTTTAAAGTTTGAGAATAATCGTCTTTGTGGATTCATGCGAAGCTGCGGCAGATTGTCATGATGGGTATTTACATCGATTACCTGTTTGGATTATGTGATCAAGCAGTAATATTGTCATGTATTAGATTAGAGCTGACCGCATAATTCATAAAATATTGAATCGTAGAAACCGAAATAACTCCAAACTCAAAAATATCGTCTCTTTGATTTTCTCCGAGACACCGTTTCATACCTTTCCTGATGCAATTGCATAAATTGATTTCTAACTCATGAGTGGGATTGTTTC